GATGTGTGGGGTCCTTACAAACAGGCAACAGTTGATGGTCATAGGTATTTTCTAACTGTAGTGGATGATTTCACTAGAATGACCTGGTTATTTCTGCTAAGGCTAAAGTCTGATGTGTGTGTGGTATTGACTCAGTTTATTGTGTTTATTCAAACTCAATTCAACAAAGTTCTCAAGACAGTCAGATCTGATAATGGTTCTGAGTTTGTAAACTCTACCTGTCTTGCTCTATTTCAAAAATATGGCATTGTTCATCAGAAGACTTGTGCATACACTCCTCAGCAAAATGGAGTTGCTGAAAGGAAGCACAGACATATCCTGGAGGTAACTAGAGCCTTGAGATTTCAAGCACAGATTCCTATCAAGTATTGGGGTCACTGTGTTATTGCAGCTACCTATATTATCAACAGAATGCCAAGTTCTGTCCTAAATGGCTTATCCCCTTTTGAGTTGCTATATGGACAGGAACCTAACTTGGAGCATTTGAGAGTCCTTGGTTGTTTGTGTTATGCCAAACAAGTGCAAGAGACAGACAAGCTGCTTCCCAGGGCCAACCCTTCAGTCCTCATGGGTTTCTCTGACACTCAAAAGGGCTATCTGCTGCTGGATCTTTCTACCAATTGCTTCTTCATCAACAGGGATGTTTCCTTTAGAGAGGATACTTTTCCTTTTAAGGAGCTTCATCCTTCTCCACCTGTATTTCTGCCTTCTGAATCTCCTACTTATGATGCAGACTACTTCTCCACATCACATGAACCCCATAGCTTACACGAGGGTCCTTCTTCTTCACTCAATCAGAGTCCTGCAAGTGATACCTCAAGCCAGGAGACATCTGAAGGAGTATCATCTTTGCCACCTTCAGTTGATCACCACTCTACTGGGCTGAGAAGATCTTTGAGGACTAAGCAGGCTCCACTCTGGCTGAAAGATTTTGTGACATGTCCTAATCACAAGACTGTCCCTTATTCTATTGCTAACAACATTTCATAGGATGGTTTGTCGCCCAAGTACCAGTGCTACCTCACTGCTTTTTCTTCCATAGTAGAGCCTACCACATTTGAGGATGCTGTCAAGGACCCTAGGTGGGTTGAAGCAATGCAAGCTGAGATCACTGCATTGGAGTCCAACCACACTTGGGATGTGGTTCCCTTACCTCCTGACAAAGTCCCTATTGGTTGCAAATGGATATATAAGGTGAAGTATAAAGCCACAGGAGAGGTGGAAAGATTCAAGGCTAGGCTTGTAGCAAAGGGGTATAGCCAACTAGAGGGTATTGACTACCAGGAAACCTTCAGTCCTGTGGTCAAAATGGTTACTGTTAGGACAGTATTAGCTGTGGCTGCCTCTGAGCATTGGCATATCCATCAAATGGATGTGTACAATGCATTTCTTCAAGGAGATCTACATGATGAAATTTATATGACTCTTCCTCAAGGCTTTCAGAGTCAGGGGGAGAACAGACCAGCATGCAGACTTCTGAAATCCTTGTATGGGCTTAAACAGGCACCAAGACAGTGGAATGCCAAACTCTCAGAAGCACTACTAAAGTTTGGATTCTCACAGAGTCAACATGACCACTCCTTGTTCACCAAAGGAACAGGTGAACACACCATAGTCATTTTGGTGTATGTAGATGATATGCTACTTGCTGGACCTAATCTGATGAAACTAGAAGAAGTCAAGACCAGTCTACAGCAAGCTTTTAAAATGAAAGACCTAGGTGAACTGAAGTATTTCCTTGGCATTGAGTTTGCTAGGTCACAACAAGGCATTCTAATGCACCAAAGGAAATATAGCTTGGAACTAATCTCTGAGCTTGGGCTGGGGGCTGCCAAACCAGTTGCTACTCCTATTGAAATCAACACTAGGTTGACAACCAAAGACTATGATGATCATACAGGCTTGCACAGCACAACAACTGATGATCTGTTATCTGATCCCACCAGGTATCAAAGATTATTAGGAAAGCTTCTTTATTTGACTGTCACAAGACCAGACATAGCCTTCAGTGTTCAGACACTGAGCCAGTTCATGCAGAAGCCCAAAAGATCTCATATGGAGGCAGCACAGAGAGTAGTCAGATATGTGAAGAATCAGCCTGGACAAGGCATATTATTGTCTACCAAGAAGAAGAATGTAGTTACAGCCTATTGTGATGCTGACTGGGCAGCATGTCCTCTCACTAGAAAGTCTGTAACTGGTTTTTTCATTGTGTATGGTGACTCACTAATATCCTGGAAGTCTAAGAAGCAGAGCACTATCTCTAGGAGCTCTGCAGAATCAGAATACAGGAGTATTGCATCAACTGTGGCAGATATAGTTTGGATACTAGGGCTATTCAAAGATGTTGGAATTCCTGTGGCTCTCCCTGTAACCATTCACACTGATAGCAAAGCTGCAATTCAGATAGCTGCAAATCCAGTATTCCATGAACGCACCAAACATATCGAGATTGATTGCCATTTTATAAGAGAGAAAATACAAAGTGGGCTGGTGAAGACTGAGTATGTGGCCACAAAGGAGCAACTTGCAGATGTTTTAACAAAAGGGTTGACTAGAGTGCAACATGAATACTTAATGTCCAAGCTAGGTGTTCTTGACATTTTTGTATCACCTAGCTTGAGGGGGAGTGTTGAGGAAAGAGGAGTGACTTAAAGCTTGAGGGGTATTTTAGTCTATTTACACTTAGCTAGATTAGTTAAGTAGGTAGGTGATTAACTCACGTGTAAATATATACACATACTATTGTACATCTCTTTCAGAATGAATGAGAAGCAGTTACTATTTTCATTCCTTCTCTGTTCTTCTCTCTACTCTCATTTCTTCTCTTCATTAACCTAAGGTCGTGCATGGCTGCTCTCCCATAAAGTTTAGCATAGAGTGCTTCAATGGGCACAAAGACGACCAATGAACACAGTGGGATGGCAACAACATCAACAAGAGATTATTAGTAGATCAAAGGGGAGATCTCAAGTTGCACAGATTTTCAAGATGATATACACGGAATATGTCCATAGCATTTGGATCGAAAGAAACATGAGAATATTTGAGAAAGCATATAGAAATAATGAGTCATTAGCTAGAGACATTGCTTGTGTATGTAGTGTGAGAGCTCCAATTAGAATTAGGAAATAAGTTCTTACATTTAGATTCTAGAAATTTTTCAGCTCTCTTAGATCATGTAATAGTGGAACAATTACTTGGTTAGCTAACTGTGTTAGTTAGCTACGTTTTTATTCGGTTTCTTTGGTGATAAACAAAAATATTTAGTTACCCAAAAAAAATAAAAAAATAGTGTGACTTAACTTCTATGACGGTAACTCTTGTGTGATCATTGATTGTCAATTCTACTCGTTTAGCCATAAAATTTTGGCTACAAACTTTCAAATACCCTTGTTCAACTTCAAATCTTACTTTTTTTCAAATCTCAATCAAATTCTGTCCTTTAATTTGTCCACTTGTAAATCCATTGATGCATATGTGTACTCAATATTTGCTCTATCAGTTGCATCTTTTAAGACATTAGTAAATATAGGAGTCACGCTATATTGAAGAATAACTCATTAATTTGAATATGAAAAATGAAAATGGATAATGGGAGAAAAACTAAGAAATATTTGTATTAGCGATATAAATATATCTCTGATTAGTGGGATAGAGGTACTCATACGCGGGATGTTGTTGCCATTTTTTAATACTAAAAGTTTCATTTATCAACTATTTCCCCTAATACCACACTGATCATAAACATATTATTTAGAAATTTTTAAAATATACAATTAATTAACCATCATTTTAAATTTCGAAATTAAATTTTCTTCTCTACATATAAACCACCAATAACGCAGGTGACTGACGTTGTATGACAATATTAACGAAAAGTTTTTGCATCGATTGAATTTGATTAGTTATGGCAACTGAATTTACCAACCAATGTTCTTCAAAAAAGCCATTACAATTAAAATTGATGAAATGACTCTGATCATCGCCTATTCACTTCACAAAGAGTTCTAATAACGCTAAACTTATAAATATCTAAAAATATTTAATTGTGAACAACTTAGAGTGATTGTAGGACCCATTTAACTTTAAATCTGGAATCCGCCACCGCCAAGGTATGGCGTTGAAACGACTAGGTTTTTTGAGGATCATGCTATAGTTAACACGAACCTAAGATATGAATTGAATTAATGAAAGGCCATTCAGCTGTCTTATTGCCTGTTTGGTCAAGCTTCTCCAATCCTAGAAATACTTTTTTTTTCAATAGAATGCTTTTGAGGAGAAGCAGAGAAAAGTAGTTTCTTTCCAAAAGCACTTTTTTGAAAAACAATTTTGAGAAAAAATACACTTAGAAGCAGTTTTTAAAAGCTTGGCCAAACATTAATTGTTGCTCAGAAGTGCTTTTCAAATTAATTAGCCAAACACAAACTACTTCTATTTCTGAAAAAAATACTTTTGAGGAAAAACACTCCTCAAAATAAGTTGATTTCTGCAACTTGGCCAAACAACCTATTACCTTCACATCCCATGATGTTTTTGCAGCTTGGCCAAACAGGCTATTAGCTTCACATCCCATGATGTTTGCTAGCTCGGGACCTTGTATAACTTGGTTGACAACAATAAATTTTGTTTCTTATTCATGTCACCAACCCTAACTCGCTTGAGACTGAGGCCTAGTTGTTGTTATACTCAATTTTTTTAAAATTGGATGATGGACAATAATACCAATGTCCGTTCCCTGCATAATGGCAATTTAGCAAATTTGACCTTAACCAACGACAAAGTCATGAAGCTATAACTTCTATGAGAAGTTTTATTTTGTGTCTCATACAACTGACACTAGTTGTATGAGGCTCATTTTTGTCTCACAAAATTGTGGACCCCAATCTTACACTGCTGGGTCCACAAAACTGTGAGACAAAAAATTGCCTCATACAACTAGTGTAAGTTGTATGAGACACAAAATAAAATTTTCCAACTTCTATTATTGCTCATTTACATACAGAAAAATGCTCCATAATAATACCTGAGATAAAGAAGAAAACATGTTTTGCATAGTACAGTAACCTTCAACATTAGCATATCTTAGCAGCAACTTACTCTTTTGCCTCCAAGATTTGAATTCAATACCATAAGAGAAAGAACTATGATTCCTTTTATGAACAATTAGCATGTTACAATAAATACAATCTCCTTACAATAAGATGAAATCCCTATTCAGATATCTCCTCGTGCACGGTCCTTCCCAGCTTTTAGCGGAGGGCTTATCATGGAATACGCGACTGCATTCAGAATAACTCGAGAATGCTGGTTTGCTTCCTCATTCTATCTCTTGATCAAGAAGGTGCTGTACAATTTCACCATCCGGCATGGATGGTGAAAGACATTGACATTTTGCAGCAAAATTTTTATCAAAACGAAAGACAGAAACTTCAACCACGATTAGTGGGATCCAGGCTGCAACCCAAACATCATCACATGCTCGCTTACACTACCTGCAGATAATCGTCTCATTTTTTGCCATAGCCTCCTGGTTTTTCCTGTTCTGAAAGGACCTGAGCTTGAGTACCTCCTAAATGGACTGGAATCTTTCTTTCCAAATCTTGCTAATGGACTCAGTAAATCAGACATTGAGAGTCCCCTCTCAACATCCAGCTCACTGTCGGAGTTAGAGACGGGGGATCGAGGGTTCAACAGTTGGCCCGAAGCTGTACTCATCCTAGCGTCCATGTCAATAGACAGATCATCTCGGCTACAACTTCGAGACACGAATTCTTTTGTCTGTTCACCTTCGCTACACACCAACTTCAAAGCCTGGACGACCTCACCCATGAAAGGCCTGTGCGATACCTCTGGTTGAACACACATTGAAGCAATAGCAGCTACTTTTACAATGTCATCAAAAGGGAAATCAGGCCCCAAAGTAGAGTCCACAATCAACTCCAGACCTTCTTCACTTGTTAGGAGTGGGCGTGCCCAAGCCACTAAATTTTCTTGACCAGGTGGTTGGGACATATCCACCGGCTTTCTTCCGGTTAGCAGCTCAAGTAGGACAACCCCATAGCTGTAAACATCACTCTTTACAAGGAGATGCCCCGTCATAGCATATTCTGGAGCTACATACCTGGTATAATAATAAAGTCAGAAATGTACATCTGAAGAATAAATTTTTAAGACAGACAGTAGAAAGAATAGCGAGACGGCTGGCCTAATGAAAATAAGAATTTAATCAGCGATGAATATTTTACCCAAAAGTTCCCATGACTCGAGTGGATATGTGTCTGTTTTCCTCATCTAATGCGGCTCTAGCCAAACCAAAATCAGACACTTTTGGGGTGAAATCATGTTCCAGTAAGATGTTACTAGATTTAAAATCCCTGTGTATGACACGGGGACTGGAATCTTCGTGCAAATAGGCCAGGCCTCGGGCAGCACCGAGTGCAATTTTCATTCGGGCATGCCAATCAAGTGGAGAAATTTCCTTGTCAACACCTGAAATACAGATAGTTTTATCCAGTCTGAAATCTAAATACTACATGGCTAATGGCTAATGGCTTCACCCAAAAAGTTAGGAGGGACCCAAATTGAAGATTACCGTGAAGGTGAGATTCCACGCTGCCATTTGGCATGAGCTCATAAACTAAACAGCGACTGCGCTCCTCAATACATATGCCTATCAACTTGACCAAGTTCCTATGATGGAGGCGGCTCAGCATCTCTACTTCAGCCAAAAATTCACGACCACCCTGCTGGTCATCTCTCTTGAGGATTTTCACTGCCACTTTCATCCCATCATCAAGCACACCACTATAAACACGACCAAATCCCCCTTCACCTAGTACTCTTGCTTCATTGAAGTTGTCAGTTGCTCTCTCAATTTCACTTGAACTGAATGTTCTAGCTGAACCAGTATAAGCAGCAAAGCTAGAACTAAAGGATAATGAAGGAGAGTTCGGCCTGCTCCCAATCATGGAGGCTGCAATCCCTACAGTATGCATAAAGATCAGAAACTTACACGAGACTCATGAGAACCACAAATTTGACCACATTTTAAATACATATTAACTACTCAATTGATGTGCTTGGTTCACATGATAAAATTGTGAAGCTTAAAGGTTCCCTAAAGTACCCATTAAGAGTTGATACTTAAAGATATTCCAGTCAAAAGACATTGGATGATTCACCATATTATCATTAAGAATTAACCAGTTAACTTGTTCTATATGCCATTTCATATATTTGGACATTCATTCCATTGTATGCTCAGGATAAGAAGTAAAAGAAACTGCATTGAGCAACACATAGCATATTCAAAACTACAACATGATTTTAATTTCCCCTAATATAGTATTTACCTGGAATGCTGCAAAGGCATGATGATAAGGGAGGTTAGACTTCTGAATTTCACTGTTTGAATTTCTTTTTCGGCACGAATTAAGAGAACTTATGACAGAGGATAAGAACACTAGGCAAACCAGATTGCACTTTATCATATACATGTAAAGAGAAGGATTTAACCTGATGACTTTGCAAGGGACGGTAATGTAGTTGGTGGAGTTGGGTCTGACTGACATCCGCGATCTCTATGTCTGAAAAGCAAAACCCATGCCGCGGCACAGCATAAAATAACTGCGACAGAGGCTGACAATACAATTACTGCTATGACACTCCGATTTGGCCCACTTTTGTGCCGTTGCCCGCTCACATCAACTCCAAGAGGCTGTATGGTCCTTCCATTATTATCACCAGGATATGGTCGGCTACCTATGGTATCAATGTCTGAAGCTGCTGAAGGAGGGGAGGGAGGAAGACCTGTACATATAACAATTCTATTTAAGTACTCAGGACATAGCAAGTGGCATCAAGATGACATGATTGCATTAGGGATGATTACGATACCTGGATACTGCACATACAATACATCATAATCACCAAAGAGTGAAGCTTTTATAAGAACTTGTTTGTGCCAGAATCTTTGAGATGTCAGAAATGCTGTAGTGTTATCAAATTTTTCTCCAAGGGGTACCAAATCAATAAGGACAATGGTCTTTTCTGGATACTGGCTGGCTGAATTTGCTCCCATAATACGGACTTGACTTGGATCTATAAATACACCAACAGCGATTTCTGTAGCCAGCTCCGAAACCAAAGGGAAGAAGGTGTAGAGTGCTACACTAAGGCGTAGTCCAACTCGCATGGGCAAGACACAAACACAAGGTGCTTTTGGTGGACCATTTGTGAAAGGCTCCGCACAAACCAATGATGCGCAATCTGCAACATCAACATCATGGTTTGAAATCATTAGTGGGGCAAAACCTGGCAACTTGTGCATAAAAGATCTATATCATTTAGAGGAGATATCTGAGACAGATAACAGTTACCTTCGTTAGGAGGTGGCGGTGGTAGTGCTTGAAATGGATGCGGTATCTTTGGATGCCTTGGTGAAGACCCAACGGGAGACATTTTAGGGGAAAGAAATGGCTCTTGCAATGGCAAAGATGATATAGAGATAAGCATCAACTATGCATAGGAGAAAAATATAATGTAAGGTTTATGCCTTGATTATGGATTGCATGAAAGGAAAAATATGACATACTCTTACTTTTAGTTGGTCTAGATGAAGCAGCCGGAGAGGGTGCTATTGCAGGAGAATCATGGCTTTCTGGAGATGTTAAAGGCGCAAGAAGTGGTGGGACCGATGATCCTGTAAAGTAGGAATTATCAGAATCATATTTTTTTCTTTTGCAACTCCTTAGAGAGGCACATGGGTAGCTAACTGAGGATGACTAGAATGATCACAAACCTGCAGTTAACGGTGAATGAGATTGGTGCCTAAGGTTAGTCTTTGGATATGATTTTGTGTGAAACGAAGGAGATGGAGGTATCAATGGACCTTCATTAATTATTGACCGAATTTTTGTCAGTGGCATATATCAGAATGAGGATATCAACTGACATATTTCTCAGGTAAGATACAGAACCTTGTTCAGTTGAAAGATGAGGATGAACTTCATAAGATGACGGAGTGATTGCTGTCATGTTATCTTTTAGGTGGTGATCCCTCTGAAATGAGGTTGAAGGTGCAGATAAAGGAGGATATAATCTTTCCTTGGGGGGAGAATTAAAGAATTTATGAGGAGCATTAGTAGATGATCCCATGGCTTTGTGTTCAGTAGGAGCTACAAGAGGAGAAGAAATCCTTCAGTGACATAATTGGCCAATCCTCGTCATTGCTGACAATAAGAAAAGAAAGCAGAAAAATATTCACATACCTTTTGCTGGATGCTGACTGATAATTCCATTAGGAGGTGCAGCAGCTGGAGCACTTGCTCTTTTGTGGTGGATGCTTGGCCACAGAGTTGATACAGGGGATATGTCATGCTTACCTACAGTAATAACACCGACTCATATTAACTATGCTGTCAATGCTACTTTGAGAACAAGTAGCTATTTAACAGAAAATGGGGAAAAAAATAAAACATATTCTTATGTTTTTCTGTAGGTAAGGACAATCCAAACAGAGGAGCAGTGACGGTTTCAACTACGAACACATTCAATAAGCATCAGTTCATTTTTCTTCGCCTAGTTCTATATTGGAAATCATTAGCAATTTGGAAGCAAGCAAAATTCTAGTTAAGATTCTCATATTCATCTGGTTTTTTACTCAAGGAGGTTATTACTTGAGGTACAGTTGCCAACAATATGTGTTGATTACATCAAGCCACAAACTATTTGGTTGGAAAATGAAGAGTACATGTGCATCAGCAACACTAGAAAGCACTGAATGCATGTTCCAAATGTCACCTGGGGAACTGGATGGAGGTTTCAGAGGAATTCTTGGATGGCTGGGTGGTGAATTGTTAGGCAACTTCCTTGGTGGTGGTGCAACTGTCGCTGCAAATTCATGGCATGGATGATCACATCTTGCTTACCAACAATTTATTTAAGATGAATATCACACAATAAATATAAGAGGGCAAATATACCTGGTGGAATAGATGGTGAGACTTCTGGATTGGTTGGGCGAACGGGCAGCGGTTTCTGTGGCTTTCCCCTTGGCGAAGGCGCATTAAGGACTGAATGCAATGAGAGAAGGCTCTATCATGTAAGCCTTTATGCCTTCATGATTACATTTAATTTACTCTTTATTTTGCTTACATACTCCCTTCGTTCCATTTTATATGACACGCTTCCTTTCTTCGTTTGTTCTCAAAAGAATGACACATTTCTATATTAAGAGACTCTTTACCTTTGAACTTCCCGTTTTACCCTTAGTGACTTGGTCCTATAGTCATAGAAATGTCATTACATGTATAAGACCACAAATTCTAAGGCTACTCTTGGTATGAGTCAAAAGTCTTCCTTCCTTTCTTTCTTAAACTCCATGTCCATTCAAACACCACAATATAAAATGAAACGGAGGGAGCACTAGATAAATATAGCAAGAATACCTGGTGGAACAGATGGTGAGACTTCTGGAATGATTGGGTGGGTGGGCAGTGGATTTTCTGGATTTCCCCTTGGAGCAGGCGCATTCAGGACTGAGTTAAATAGCAGCAACACAAAATAATGTGAAAAATTTAACGGCATCCATGATCAACTCTAATTTACTGAAAACTTTATTCTAACAGGATTGTCACAATTTCTTCTAGAAAAAAGGCAAGGATACCTGGTGGAATGGATGGTGAAACTTCTGGATTTCTTGGGACGGTGGGCAGTGAATTGTGCGGCTTTCCCCGTGGAGCTGGCATGTTAACGACTAAATTCAATGAAAGAAAGCAAAATAATGTAACAATCATTTTCTATCTTAATATACTGTGTCAAAACCAAAATTCTCATCGGCCAAAATTACCCGGGGCAATTGAGGAGAGAGGACTCTCTGGTGCCCTGCTCTCACTGGGTGGCTTAGATCCAGGTAGCGGTGGAGCTTTAGTTGGTGCATCTTCCGGTGAATTCCTTCCAGGTGACGAGACTGGTGCTGCTCTCCATAAAAAAGAATATTAAAGTAAAACAGAAATCAAGTCATGTCAATAGTATGACCACAGTCAGCCGCATACCTGGAGCTTCTGGCACAGAAACAGGCTGCTCAGCATGTTGACGCTCTCTCTTAGGAGCACTTGGTGGAAGAACTGGAGCAGGACCATTCCACTTAATCAGAGGAGGAGGAAGAGCTGGTAGAGAAGCGGCTGGTGGCGGAGCTGAAGAGATTGCGGGTGGGGCTGAACTGGGAGGTGGCAATAATGTAGGAGCGCTTGGTTGCAGAGATGGAGTGAGAGCTTCTTTCGGTTGAGGAACAGGGTTAGACGTCAGTGGTGGAAGCACATTTGCAGGAGGAGAAGACGTCCCTGAGATCAAAACAAACTTAAGATGCATAACATAAAACATTGAATTTGGTTAAAAGATTTGATATCCAAGAATCGCGGTCAGACCATTTAGTTCAAATGCAGGAGCAGGTGCATTACTTCTGAATGCCTTCCCATGAGAGACGGAAGAGGGTATTCCTTCTTCAATAGGAGGAATTGCAGAGGAAGCTGACGGAGAGGGGGATAAACTGAAACCTAAAATGATTTTTTTTTTTAAATAAGGAAAAAGAATAAAGAAGTTAATAGCAGCAAGTATGCATGATAAGCAGTTCATCATTACCAGATCTCAGGATAACTCCTGGATTATGGCAATTGATAAGATTCTCTATTTTCACAAAGCTGAGTGGAAATGACAGCTCGACAACATATAAAGAGACAGTAACAGAATTATTTCCTTACTTTTCAGCATATAACAACAACAACAACAACAACAAAAAAAAAAAAAAAAAAAAAACCCAGTGAATTTCCACAAGTGGATCCGAGGAGGGTAGGATGTACGCAGCCTTACCCTTTCAGCAGACACAGAGATTGACTACAATCATTAAAGATTAGAGTGAATAAAAAGGATGGTGAGGAATATGGACTGTTTATCAGCTTTTGCAGTGGCCTACATGCAAATAAAATCTAGAAGACAATACATTCCAACAAGATCGCACATCATTTTACGCCATTGGGGGGGAAAAAAACTCCCGTTTGGGTTTTGGGGAACAATAGTCGTTGCATAATCAAAGTGCAACCAGCTCTACAACTCGATTTAAGCTTCCGGGAAGCTTTAATTGCAATTAAATTATTAGGGCCTCTAAAACCCAAGAAGAATCAGTGAATCAATGGAACAGTTAAAAGTAACTTAGCTCAATCACTTGTATGCAAAAAGCAAGCTTAAGAACCTAAAGGCTAAAACTTTCAGCCTGGCACTACTAAATTAAAGGGAAAGTTTAGGCATAACAACAAGACTACACAAAATTCAGAATGTAAAATTCTCAACTCAGAGGTTCTGATCTAATTCCTTAGAAAATATAATATCTAGGTATTTAATTTTCCAACCAAATTCAGAAATCAACATTACCAAGACTGAACATTTATCTGACCAAATCCTCTAAATTATTTCCTGAGCAAAAAACTCATAAATACACTACAAATATTGTCAAGATAAAGAATTTGGTAGTTGCATGAATCTATACTCAAATCAAGAACTACATAAAAGGAAGAATTACCTGCAGATCCCTGAAGAACCAAAGCAAAGACACAGACTTTCAGCACCAAGCAAAGAAGTTGCAGCCTCACCCCACCCATCCCATATACTAACTAATGAAAGTACAAAATCAGAACATAAAGGAGACAAAAAATTGGAACTTTTAGATAAACTTGAAGCAATAACAAGAAGGGGACGTTTAGATTAAAGAAGGAAAATTGAGAAACAAGCAATGAAGAGGAAGATTATTGAAACGGCCAAAGATGGGTTTGGTGATATGAACAAAAGAAGTAAGAAAAGCAAACAGCTTTGTCTTAGAGCATAACAAGAGTTTGAGATTAGCATACTATACACAGGCGTTTCTGCTACCATGTGAGCAATTAAACTACTCTTTTTTTTTTCTTTTCTTTCTATTACAGTGAGTATTAAATAGCGACAAGCTAAGTTTATGTTTAACTAAAAACAACACAACAAACACTCTTTGCTGTAACAACTAACAGCCACCTTTAAACAGACGCCTCCAATACAAAGGACAAAGAGAACTGTGATGCCTAATTTTACATCATATTATTATATTCTGCTCGAAGGAGCCTTGGCGTAATTGGTAAAATTGCCGTGATGTGATTATGAGATTACGGGTTCGAGCCATAAAAACAGTCTCTTGCAGGAATGCTGAGTAAGGTTGGCTGGTACAATAGATACTTGTGGTCCGACCCTTCCCGAATCTCGTGCATAGCGGCAGCTTAGTACACCAAACTGTCCTTTATTATAACATTCTGCTCCTTTTTTATTTATTTATTGAACACTATAAAAATCATTCTTTGTTCTTTTCGAAAATACACTTACCTAGAAGAATTTAAGTGAGAGATTGTCCAAACAAATGTTTCTTTTTTTATTGCAAGTGGAAACTAGTACTAATATTATTATTATTATTATTATTATTATTATTATTATTATTATTATTATAGGAGAAAGCACAAAATGGCTGGCTACATGTGTTAGTAGGCGTTTGGAGATAAGAATTGTAAAATTCCAAAAAAATGGTGAAAAAAAGTTTCAAGTGAAAATGGTATTTGAAATTTAGAGTTGTGTTTGGACATAAATTTCAGTTTGGGTTGTTTTTGAAGTTTTGTGAGTGATTTGAGTGAAAATTTTGAAAAACAGTTTTTTGGAGTTTTTTAAATTTTCGAAAATTTTCAAAATGCATCTTCAAGTGAAAATTAGAAATTTTATGAACAAACGTTGATTTCGAAAAAAAGTAAAAAAATTTTGAAAAAAAAGAAAAAATATTTATGTCCAAACGGGCTCTTAGACTCATAGGCACAAAATAAGAGTCCGTTTGGTCATACAAAATTTTTCCTTTTTTTCAAATTTTGTTTGAAAATAATGTTTGGTTATCCCATTCTTACCAATTTTTCTTTTTTTACTTGAAAATCCATTTTCAAATTTAAAAAACTGGTTCTCACTAGTTTTTCAATTGAAAATGGGAATTTGCTAGTTTTTGGTTTTACAAATTTACCCTATATTTTTTAAAATTTATAAAATGACCCCATCAATTTTTCATCTTTGGCAGATACATCTTTAGCAGATACATCTTTGGCGACTGATGGTGGAACATCAGTCCTTGTTGATACTTGAACTCTGCCTACTGGAAGTTTGATTATATGGTTATGAGAAATATGTGGCTATGCCTGTTTTTGCACCTACCCCGTATGTTAGTAGAATTAGAAAATGTGATATTGATTTTGCATCTTCTGTGTATTGCAGTAAAGCAGAATATGATAACAGTTAAACAATAGCATTTTGATTGTTTATTTCAAGTAGGATAATCAAATTGGGGTGATTTTGATATTTTTTACAAGTTGTGGGGTATAAATCATGTTTTATGGTTTTGAAAAAAAAAACATCCAAATATGTTGCAAAAATTATAACCAAACACAACTTCATCTTCAATCCAAACGCCTACTAAGTTTAAGTTGTATATATTGTTAGTACAAGAAATTTTTACTCTATTCAGTATCTTGACTTGTTATAGCATGTAATACGTCTTATTTTAGATTACAAATCACATATTTTAAGAAAGCTTACCTATAAATATATTTTGAATAGTCTGATAATATAAGAAATTTTTTACAGTGGCATATATTTCTTAAACTCTAAAAATATTGCATATCACATTTTCTATGTAATCAAACTATGTTTAGTGTAAATATTAATTTGTGACTAAATTTTAAATGATCTAATTATATACTACATATTCTTTTAGGATGATATAAAAGATACATTCTGAATTGAGAATGAACCAACTTTTGAAATTATTATTTGGGTTGCAGAGGTCTGAAATTCTAGGGATTTGTTTAATGGGTATTGTTTGACTCATTTTAATTCAATCCTGAATTTAGGTAATTGATGTTGGCCATGAGAGAAGTGGGATTTGTGAGTTGGGGTGTGTGGGCATGTGTCAACTGCAGTTTGACACCTCATCTTCTTGTACTTTGTCATTTTAATTAACCAACTATATTAATGGACCCTCCCTAAGGTACATCTAAAGTGACTAGTGGGTTTCATTATGTCAATTTTGGCTTTTATTTTTGGGAAAATATTTAATATAGACGTTTTCAAAATAATAATCAATATATATATATATAGGTTGGGTTGCTGGATACGGGATCCTCGTAGTAAGCTGGACCAAGATCCAGACGAGAGAGGGCAGTCTTTAGAAACAACAGGTTGGGAAAGCAAGAGAACGCTTCGCGTCTTCTTATCTTCTTCCCGCCCTGGCATGCCATAGTTATTAAAGTCTCTCGGCGGCGGGAATGGGAGATTACTGGTAAGCCAGATGCTTCGCGGACCATATTCAACTTTAAGGCATTTCGTTGCACTTTAATCACCCTCGTGAAGAGGCGCACTCTGATACCATTGATGTCCAATAGCTTTTATAGTAATGGCTATATATATATATATATATATATTCTGTATGTTATATACGAAAATTATACAAATTTTATATACTTTTTCGACTATCAAATGTAAATAGTTTCTGGCACAGACTAAAAGTAAAAAAATAATTTAGCTATAGCAATCACAAATTACAGTGAGAATTTATCACTTAATCAATGTTAAAAAATAAAAGTTTATATAAAAAATACATATTGTGTATTTATTTATTTTGGTGTAAACATTAATACGAATAAAAAAAAATTCATGGTCACTAGTGGATGTCCATTTAAGGAGCTAAATAAAGCATGGCCAAGCAATTAGTCAAAGCAAGAGGTCAACAAATAAATGGGTAAATTTTAAAAATAGCCAGATTTACAATTGGTCGTTCAAAAATAGCTCAATTTCAAAAGTAATCGAAATTTAGCCACTTTTTATCTATCTATCTATACTATATTAAAAGCACGAAGGCCATTAGGGAAATGTTATTCGTCCTTTTTACCCTTTAAAAATTGATTTCATATTGGACAAAATTGTAATTTAATTATTTTTCCTAATATTAAGGACTTTAATACAACTAGAATTTCTTTCCTTGTTTGTAGCAAATCCTAATATTTAGGAATTAAAAAGAAACTAAACTTACCTTATATATTTCTTTTCCTTAGTTGAATTGTATATCACGTGAATAAAACTATACAATTATTCAAATAGTACTATTAGTTCAACATTTTAGATATTTGGAATATATTAAACTTTTGGTTATTAAATACTTTAACTGTGTAAAAAATTATAATATAAGACTTTAAAATTAACTAAACTTTCACTTTATCTAATTTTAGTTTGAATTGAATTATATAAGATTCTTTTATTATTCAAAATGTCACCATTTTCTTTTGGCGTAAGATTTGGCACACATAAGCTATAACTCAAAAGTAAAATACTCATTATATTTTGCAAATTTAAAAGTAATATCAAATTATTAATATAATTTTTTCTTNATTGACAATGATTATGCTCAATCCCAAAGCTTCTACTCAATTGGTTAGAGTCTCGTGCTGATAACGTGTTATAAAACAATAAAAGTAGAAGAACAATATTGCAGAGAAAAGTAGAGAGAGGGAATTCTTATTGAATTTGGGATGAATTACAATAGAATAGAACCCTCTATTTATAGGGAGAGGGTGACTTAGCCACCAAGCAATGAACCCTAGAATCTCTCTAAATATAGACATTCACCATAAATAAAATTCTATTTATAACAGAATTTAAATTTCCACCATTTTTTGTCATATTTGCACGACTTTGAAGGTACTAGAAAATAGGCACACGGAAGCTATAACTCAAAAGTAAAATGCTAATTAATCTTTTTTTTTCGTCAACTGTAGTTTTTCCTTGAAATTGTAAATAATATTAAAGTTAATTATTAAGCAACAAATTTGTCAAAGTATTTTCTTATGTGTTATACTTAAAAGGTAGGACTCTTAAAAAAAATATCTTAAATCTCCATAGGTTAAATGTTCATGCTGAAACTAAAAAGTAAGTATGATAATTTATAAAATTGAACCGATAGTATTGTAAAATTAGAACAAATTTTTAAGGTGAATATATTAAATGATAATTGAAGACTTCTATGAGGCAGAGTTTCTTTGAATTGAGTTAGCTACATAGGATCAACATTCATTAATTTCAGGAGCTTATATATTTTTTTAATAATTGAAACATAAATTTTAAATTAATTTTTATTTATATTACTCATTGAGATGAGGTACAACTTTCATATATGGACAAAATTATAATTTAAGTGACTTTTCTTTTATTTAGGACTTTAAAAAAAAATTAGAAATTTACATATTAAATCTTTCATTATTAAACTCGGTAAGAAATCATAATAGTTAGTAATTTAAAATTGGTTAATAGTTTACAATATATAGGTTACACGGATTAAATACAACATTCGTGCCATACTCATAAAATCAAGATGGCAACGATTTTATACGTGCATTCAATTAATTTCTTATTAACTTAAAATTGTTTACTACAATAACGTATAATTAAAATTGTTTCAATGAAAAACAATTAAATATAAATTTTAAAAATTCTTATTTTAATTACACAAAATAATTAACCTGTGTTCAGTTAAGCACTCAAATATTAAATAGCACATTTAATCGAACTAAACAGTACAAATCTAAGTCAATATGGTTAGAGTGCGGAAATTTATACTAATGTCGATTGACTTTTTATCATTTAAAAGTATATTTCATATTGAATAAAAATATAATTTAAATATTTTTGTATTTAGGACTTTAAAACTAATTAAAATTTTGCTTATTAATTTTTTTTATTTGAACGATGTAAGGAGTTGAAATATTTAGGACTTTAAAATAGATTATATAATAAAAAATAAAATGTCTAAAATGTGTATACACACTCAATAGATTCAATACCATTTAGGGTGAATATTTCTTTATTGAGTTAACTATATATGATCAATATTCATCATTTTTAGATGTTTTCACTTTATTTTATAATT